AAGGAAGTTTCAGCTTTTCAGTTTTAAGGATCTCTATTTTTATCTACTTTCTGACCCCCACCCATCAGCCTGTCTACTGTACTCTTCTGCATATTTAAACAACCTGCCTTAAGAATGTATATATGCTCTGCTAAATTTCCAAAATAAATAAAATGTCAAACCACCAAGTGCACAGTAGGAACAGAAAAATCATTAACTTGTTGAAACTAACTAATCTATGTTCCATTCGGCTCCATGAAATCAAGAAGCAAAAGTTTGTAGTGGTTCTGTCCATTCATCCTAATGCTTCCCTTGACTTTATGGTAGAAAAGAATGTACTATCAAATAGTCTATATATAACTCTGTGTCTCTGACTCTCTCTCATGATAATTTTTATGATGAAGATTCTAGGTCAAAAATGGCAAGTGAGTGAGAACAAAGAAGAAAATCATTGTCAATAGACAATGGAGCAGTAAAAAATCATAACTTGAAAATGTGCTTAAGGCATATCTCTTCTGTGTAGACTCATGTAAATTCAGTATAGTTACAGCTATTGAAAAATACATGAATATAACCCTCTTAAAATATGCTAGTAGATCTCTGATCATGTTTTTAGAGGTAAAGGTATTTTTAGCTTCCACAGGTACAAATTAGTAGTCTTCCCTTTTACTCACTCTCTTGAAAGAGTACAGATTCTCTTCCACAATGGCACATTTTACAAAAGATATAGCAGCAATATATAATCTATAGACCACTTTTTATTCATTTTAAAAGGTGATTGAGCACAGCTGAATTGAAATACATACAATCTGAAAAATCTTTTCAGTTTTTCAGGCAATCTCATTAAATGATGAAGAGTCTACTTAGCAGCTAATCTCTTTTATGTTGTCATTGAATAAAGAACTGGAATCATGCCATTAATTGTCCGTCAGAAAGAACGTTAGGCTTAGGTACACTGAAACACTAAATAAGACTGAAGTCGAGAGGCTCAACAGTAACTCCGAATGTTTTTTGTTTTATAACATTGTGTAATATTAAAAGATATTCTTTCATAGGGAGGTGGGCACAGATAAAACAAGAATAACAAAATATTAATAGATCTTGAAACTAAGTGATAAATGAGGGTTTGTTATGCTATTCTCTTTGGGGTGTATTTGTAAAACATTCAAAATTAAAAGTTAGAAACAAAATAATGCATATCAATAAAGGGGTGCAAGGTTGCCCAAGGTATTTGGCTGACCAAGGGCCACAAGAAAGCTGAAGGATGGAAACTCAGAAAAGGAGTGACAATCTCGGGATGCAAGGCTTCCCGGGGCCTAACTGAAGAAGGTAGCTGGAAACAAATAACTAGGGCTGATAAAGGAAAATCTTTGCTAATGAGCCAGCAACCAAATTTTATATTTTCTTGGCAAATGAAAGAATTAGAGAAATACTAAGAGTGATTGCCAAACTTTCATATTTTTATTCACTTTTTGGTCCTAGTTAGTCATGCATGTAGCAGCTAATTTTGGTCCTGCCTGAATCAAGTAACAAAGCCAATTGTAATAATGACCAACATTTATTGAAGGTTTATTATGTGTCACACATATGCTAAGCATCTCACGTGAATTATTTTGTCTAATATTTCTCAAGAAACCTGCAAGATAAGTCTAACAAAATTATAGGTACGAAAACAGACCTTAGCTAAGTAGTTTATCTTACGTTACAGTACCAGATGAGCCATGGCATTTTGACTCTAGAACCCATATAATCATTTAAAAAAAAAATTCAGACTTTTTGAAATTCACTGTACTCATTTAATACGTCACCAAGATCTGAGCATGCATTGCCTTTAGCTGTTGTTGTCTTATCCCTCACTCTCATACAACCTTAACACTGCTCTCCTATCCTGGGCCCTACTCACGTGATCCTACTCTGCTCTGTGGCTTGGTCTCTCATGGAATTATTTGCTCTTCTACTTGGGCCATGTAACCACTTCGAAAAGGTTAGAGTTGCTTCCCAATTCTAATTCCCTTGACATTTTGGAACTTTAACCTTACCAATTCCCACTACTATACATTTGCTAGAAACAGAACCATATCCCCTCCAACATTCATATGTTGAAGTCCTAACCCCAAACATGACTGTATTGGGAGGTAGTGTCTTTAGGAGGTAATCAGGGTCAAACAAAGTCATAATGGCACGGCTTTAACCAATAGCATTGGTGGTCTTATAAGAAGAGCAACAAAAAGAAATCTCTCAGGGCATGAACAGAAGAAAGGCCGTGTGAGTACATAGTGAGAAGGTAGCTTATCTACAAGCCAGGAAGAGAGCCCTTCCCAGAAACAGCCCTAATAAACTTTGATCTGCAACTTGGTTTCCAAAACTGTGAGAAATACATTTCAGTTGTCTACCCAGCCTGTGGTATTTTGTCATGGTAATCCCAGTGGACTAACACAACATCCTGTCATTTCCTGCCTTAGCTTCCACTTCAAATGCTTCTGGAAAAAGTAGAAAATGACTTGCTTCTCTAGAAACAGCATTTTGAAGGAGCTCTAAATTTGGAACCACAAGACGGGATTTTAAGTCATGACATTGTCACATATTAGCTGTGTGACCTTGGCGAAGTCATTTAAGTTCTTTGGGTCTGTTTTTTTTGTAATAAACACAATTAGAAAAATATCTGCCATCCCTATTTCAACAATAAAAGAAAAAATATAGCAAAGATATAAAGTTGTATTATCAATGACAGCTAACCCCTTACTGATACTTAGAGATACTGTATCTGATACGGATACTTACATTTCATTAGCAGCCTTCCTACCAGTGTTGTCAGTGAACCTCTGCCATTAATTACTCATGGTCCCACTTGGGTATCTGACCTTGTCCTTTAATATATTCCAGAACATTGAAGCCCTCTGACTACAGCTTTTGTAACTTCTGTAGCAATATGTCAGTTTCTGATCCCATTCTCTCTGAGAAGATTGACTTATGCCTCCTTTTTTTTTTTTTTCCCCAGAATAACATCTCTATCAGGAAACTCAGTTGCTCCATCATCTTTCAACTTCACTAAGAGTAGATCAGTTATTACCTTTCATTTCAAATATGCTCAAGTCCTTTGTACTCAATGACAAACAAATCCTTGACCTTGAACTTCTCAAGCTATTCTCCCATTTCTCTCTTCCCGTTAATTGATGTGATTTTAAAAACCTTCCTACTCATATCTTCCTCCAGTGTACTTTGTGCAGTCTGTCATCAATCCAAATTATGGTTTTTGATCCTGGTTGCTCCCACATTAAGGCTTTGCTTAGAATGACATACAGTCCTTATTTCTGCCTATCAGTTTTCCAAGGTTTACCAAACATGTCACCCCTTCTATGAAGTCTTCCCTTACATAATTTCTTCTAAGCTCCCAAATAACTTAGTCTGTACTTTTTGATAGCTTATTTGCATTCACTGTAGTATCATTATTTGTGCATCTTTACTAGATTATAAGCTCCCAAGGCTCTCAACTTAATATCCCATAATCATTTAGTAAATGTTCAACAGACATTATCAAACTGATCTTAAACTATATAATCAAGATATTAGTTCAATTGGGATGAACATAGGGCTTGGATAATTTTTGGAGAAAGATCAAACTTCAATTTGAATATGGGCAAAGAGAGACTGGGCCTGTTTATACAAGAGACAAAAAGGATTAAAATCCTAGCCATTTTCTGCCCTCGTTGAAACAAAGTAACAATAGCCAATAGTAGACGAGCTTGCATGTAAGTGTTCAATAAATGTTTCTTGAATTATAGAAAAAGTGAATGCTTAAAGTAATCCTAGAATTATATATTAAATAGTGAGATTTAGAAAGATTCCGGGAGGTGTGACTCACACCTGTAATCCCAGCATTTTGGGAGGCCAAGGTGGGTGGATCACTTGAAGTCAGGAGTTCGAGACCAGCCTTGCCAACATGGCGAAATCCTTACTAAAAAAATAAAAAATAAATTAAAAAATTAGCTGGGGTGGTGGCCCATGCCTGTAGTCACAGCTACTCAGGAGGCTGAGGCAGGAGAATTGCTTGAGCTTGTGAGGCAGAGGTTGCAGTGAACCAAGATCATGCCACTGCACTGCAGGCTGCAAAACTCCATCTCAAAAAATGATGGGAGAAAAATCTAATACAGAACTTTGAAGACAGGAACAACAACAATAAAAACTTTGCATAATTTGACGTCACTGAACCTGACTTTCCCCACCCCCCAATTCCTAAGATAGTCGATAATATAACCATTCCACTAAAGTTATCTTGAAGGCACAGGCTTAACTAAATATATATTTTTAAAATTCTAACTCTTTGAAAACTGGTAACCAACATATGGATAAAGGACAGCTATTCAGTTAAATCTATATTTCTAGATCACAGTGAAGAACATAGGGTAGATGGATTATCCAACTGGCCAAGTAAGTGTGTGCTTAGAGAACCAGAAATATGAGACATTTCTGCTACAATGAATGTATGACACAACTTGTAATCAGAAATTCTAGTAAGAAGCTGTTAAAATTGAAGCACTCATTTAAATTTTGGTTTTGGATTCTGTTTTTTAATTTTAAATTTTAATATGGTGGGAGGCTTGGAAAGAAGACATCTAAGACTTTCTAGTGCTTATGGCACTATGTGAACATAGTTTTAAATACTGCTTTAAGCTTGATTTATAGAAAATACGTAAAAGGTACCAAATGCTTTTAAAAAACACAGTATCCAATAATCTTTTCCAGAATACAATGATGTTTCCATCATATTTTCAGAAAAAATGCACTCCCTCCTGGTTATTCTATCACAGCAATCTAAACAATAATGCCTCAAGTAACAGATGATAATTATCTCATAAATATGCCATTTTGATAACTGAATGTAATAATTAGTAATTGCTTAGAATATTTTCTATCACATGAAAGTGGTCTAGCTCTTATTGGGCTTTTAATAAGATATGACTTAGCTTCAGTGTGAGATTTTCTCAAATGTTAAGAAAATAAAAGTGCATCAGCACACAAGGTTTTGGGAAGAACATTTTATTGCTAAGCATATCCTTGAACGAAAATGCAAATATGAACTAAAAGAAAAAAGAAAAAGCAGTAATGTCACAACATCATAAAATAAATTCCTTTAGGTTCTGCTAATAAAACAGGAATATGATAGAAGCTCACATAGAGAATGCACATGTTCCCATAAAATTGTCCAAATAGAAACTTACACTAAAAGGAATATAACAAATGTATTATTACTCAAATTGAAAAAATGAAAGAAAGCAGGAAATCAGTTCACAAGACCTCAAGACTCCAAGAACAGCAATCTTTTACAGACATCGAGATATAATCAACTTCGTATAGGCTGGGCCATTTAGGTTATCTAAAATCGTGCTTTGATATCTCTTTATAATCCTGTCTTTTTAAAATGATAACAAAAAATTAAACTCTTAACACATTGAAATATTAGATAATGAGGAACACCTCTTTCCATACACATTAGTAAAGGCTACCATTTAGATTGCGCTTTTTGCCCCATGTCATTAAGATATTTTTTCAAAGTCAAATATTCATGCAACTTACAAAGACCAGCAAGAGTAGATTTCTAAATCTAAACAGCTGATTGATTTTCATCTGTACAAAAGAAATTGTATATCTCTGACCCTCCAGAGGACACACGTCATTTTTGTGTGAATATTTGTCTTGCTTTGTCTCTTGCTTTTTGGATAGCTATGGCCATACAACCAGTTTATTGTTTTTCTGTACATTGTTTCCTCTTTACAAAAAGAAAAAGACAACCAGAATATAAACCAAACAGAAATAAACAGGAAAAAAAAACAGTTCTTAAAGCAGTATGTACATAGGTGGCTAAGGAATTATACCAGCAAAGATGTAGTAAAATATGTAAACAAAATCTGAAGTTTTTTTTTTAAATTCTCTTTGACACAGTTAACTGTGACAAAACTAAAATTCACACTTTCTTCACATTTTAAGGTTTGCTTTTTTGTTGTTTTGTTATTTTCTTTTAAAACAACATTCTCATTCCACTTCAAGACTTTAACAGATTTCCTGTGTCAGTCATCCCATCAAACATACCATGATAAATATATCTGTATATATATTTATTTATATATATATTATACTATTAAATTCCTTTTTTGTGTGTGTCACAGCAGCTTTATTCATTTATTTATTTGTTTTTTAAAAAAGATGGGTGAAGGGAGAAGTGAGCAAATGGAAGGACAGAATTATCCATAAATGTCAGGCTACAAAATTAAACCACTATGAAAACCATTGTCATGTTTGGGGCGGGGAAAGAACTATGTGTTTTGTACTCTGGCATGACATGTTTGGCTTGTGTGACCTTTTGTGGTTCCATCTCGAGTTGAACTCCCCTACTGTCTGGTTTGATAATTTAACAGACTTTAATATTGTCTTTTTTATTTGCATGCATTTCAATCAGTCACAGATCCAGCCCACCTCCCCTTCCTCTTCCCAGGAAAGGCTATTTTAGTTTGTGGGGCTTTCTTCTTTAACACAATTTGGCTGGGTGAATGGACAGGAACAATATTGTTAAGTAAAGCCAATAGCTCTGATAACACCAGCCCTAAACCCATCTGTTCGGGGTTTGGGTGGTGAATTCTGAAATTAGATCCTGGGGGACCAGCTTTTCGAATCAATATTATCATCCGTCACATGAATTTTGCTATGTGTTCAGCAAAGCATCTTATAGGAAACAAACAACAGATTCTAGAGACACCATAACCTGATATGTAGAGTGAACACCATGGTAGCTTTTGAGTTCATATGGCAATAGTCTCTCTCGCTTTTGTTTTGAGTTTTTTCCTCTTCCGATGTCCAGTCATTATCAAAAAAATAAACAAAAACCCAAAAGCCATTTTTCCCCTCAGACCTTAAAGTTACACGCACACTGGTCAGAACCAGATAAGGGTTGTGGGTTTTTTTGTTTGTTTTTGTTTTTTGGTGTTTTTTTTTTGTTTTTGTTTTTGGTTTTTTTTTTACTTTTTTCTTTTTTTGTTGTTGTTGTAGTTTTGTTTTTTACATAATTAAACCGAAAAAACATGGTTACAGTCAAGCTTCACAAACATCATTATAGACTCACTTGGAGTTATGGAACAAGTAAGCCATGAAGTCTTCTACCTTTTAGTAAAAGGTCCTCCGGAGAAGGAAGCTTCCAGGCCTGCGGAAGTGGTGGAGCCACCGTCCGGCTCCAGAGCGCTAAGTGTGTGCTTTATGATACAGCAGGGCACAAAACCTTCTGCCTCCCAGCGACCGCTGGGACCTTGCCGCAGCCATGGCTGAGCTTCAGAGATGCATCGCTGTGTGTGTGTGTCCTTTAAAAAACGGTTTTCCCCACCAGAGTCGTGGTTATATACCCCATTTCATAGTTCCAGCAGTTCTGACATCTGTGAGATCTCACCATCCAAAGATTCATAGGCGTGGATAGAAATAACTGTGAAACTCGCGTGTGAGCAGTGTTCGCATGTTTACACGTAGTACTCCCTGTCCTTGTTTTTCTGTTTCTTGTGGCCGCTCTTCGAGCTCTGCTGCTTCTCCTTCATGAGCGTGCCGTTGCTCTGGGCGGAGTTGCTGATGTAGTTCCGCGTCTCGTCCACTTGATAGGACCCCTCGTCCCTGTTCCTGTACTTGTACATGGCGTACAGGAGGATCAAGATGCAGAGGGCGGCAGCAGCCACAATGCCGACGACCATCCCTGTTGTGCTGCTCGACTCCCGGATCACCTCTGAGGCCCCCGGGACCCGTCTGATTCCCGGCTCCGTGGGGTTTGCTGTGGGCACATTACGGAACATGGGGGAAGTAATTAGTGGGCTCTTCAGTTTGGTGCTGTCTAGCTCATAGGCAGTGGGCAACGGAAGCAAGACTATATCAGGCTGGGGTTTGAGATCACGGTTATTCATTTTGCCAGCTGGCAATTTGGGCACCATCCCAGACGAGGAGGAAGCTGTGAAGCGGATCAGCTCAGGGGATAAAGATGTGGTAGTAGTCCTACTAGTTTCGGAGACTTTGTTAGGTCTAAAGTCCTTGGATTCCCACTTGGGCGCATGTGCTTTGTAGCCACCTTCGAAGATTGAAGTGGAAAGACTCTTATCTGTTACCAAGGAGAAGGTGGTGTAAAAATCTTCATCATCAGTAGGGGGCAGGTTAGAGTCAAAGGTTTCCCCTGAGCCATACCCAGATATCACCAAGCCATCATCATCACAACCATCGCTGCCTTGGTCCGACAAGCAAGGTAACCCCGCCTCAGAGGTCATGGACAGGGAATCTTTGGTGGTCTCAATAATGGTGAGGAGGGGGCGAAAGGTAGGGGGGAGTGTAATGGAAGGTGCACGAGTAGCAATAGGAGGGGTAGCTAAAGGGTCTTCTACAAGAAGAGGGATAACTAATTCACCTCCTGGGATGGAAAAGAAAAAGAAAAACAGAATTAGTATATTTGTAAACACAACTGTAGTTACTCTCAACCAGTGTAGTTCACAGATTATGCCTCAGCAATTATAATAAAATGATCTGGATCTTGTCTGAATGGAGTCTAATCATTCTAGGCAGATTTGGAGCCTTCTATATGCCTCTTGCCACCCAAACCTGAAATCCCTAGATCAGGGGCTTAGATTTCTAAAGATACTCTCAAGCAATTATTTAGATAGAATTCAACTATATATGTTCTTTCCAGGATCTGCTTAAGGGCTGATGACATTCAGTGACATTGTTATAAATATTGGCTGCTATCAAAATTGGCGTGTGTGGGTACCTGTACACATTGTGTGCTTAGTTATGAATTTATTAACATGTATTTAAGATTTCTTTATTTCCCTCTTGGGATTCTACTTATTTGTTCCCAGGAGGATGAGAATGACCTATTCACCATCTTACTGAGACCAAGATCAAGAAACACAAAATATGGTGTCCTTTGTGTTTTCTTAAGTTACTTACTTTTATTTCACATTTATTAATCACAGTCCTTTACTATAAGCTGAGTGACAGGTATTTATAATAATTCAAAAATGTTCATCTAACAAATCCATTTTGACTATTTTCCAGAAATTCCCGATTATTAAATGACAACTTGCCTTGCATTAGTCTAATATTTGTATGCATTGCTTTCATGTTATATGCAATATATTGTGAGCTGGAAGCTAGATTTTCAAAATACCCAGCCTAGATATCCATGACTTGAAACTTTTAGACTTACAAATGTTGACTTAGCAAAGTGAGTTTTTTAAAATTGGTGATTCCTAACTAGTGTGGCAAAAATATATCGGTTTACCCATAGACCCTCGTTATTGCACTTAGAATCATGTAGACTAAGTTGGGAAAGAAAGCTCAGAATAGTTCATTAAATCACAGGGCCTTGCAGATCATGGGTGCCACAAATATTCTGCAGTAGTGGTTGTTTACCTGGCTGTAAGGCCAAGATTGCTATGTATCTATGGCAGCAAGAAAATTGATCTCTGTTCAGTGTCTTTCTGATGTTATTTTCCAAGCAGAGGAAGAATCTTAAGAAGTCACAGTTCGTGTCTCTTAATTGAATTTATTCCAGAAGAATGTATTCCCACTATCAATTAAAAAAATCCACTCGCAGGAATGGTACAAATGTTTCCCTGCCCCAGTTAGTTAGAAGGTTGGGATACTAATGTGTCGTTATTGTTGAAGGCCTCTTTCTGAGTGGACCCACTGAGCTGTCAACTGGTACTGCGTATTGTGTCTCTTACACTTGGTAATAACTTTGCTGTGATGGTATAGTCAGTGTTTGAGTAGCTTTTAACAGATAAGACTGTAGCTAAGGTACCTACCTCATCAGTAACAAAACCAGACAAGGAGGTGATTCAGTACCAGAGTTCTAGGGGCACTCCAAGTGAATAAGCCTTGGAGTTTACACAGTCTTCCAGGGTTTTTCCTATGAAGATTGATTCACGAATTAAAACTCTCCCTTTGAATGCACGGGAAATGTTTCAAGATGCAAGCTTTCCACACCTTGCATCTTGAAACATTTCCCATGCATCCAAACTGTCCAGGTTTCAGGTGTGCTATGAGAAGGACTTCCTGAGGAGAAAGCTAATGCCTACGTTCAAGCACTAAGAAAATACTGGTGCCCATGTCAGAAGCCTTTATTCTCTCCCTGTTTAGCTATTAACAATTGTGTTCTGCAGAAAGAAACTGAGTTTGGGAGGGAGCTGATAAAGTATATAATGTGTATCATTTAGAAGGGCAGGGACAACAGAATGTTGTAGTGCCATCTCTGGCCTATGTGATAATTTTACTATGAAATTAAAACAACACCTTTTTGAGATTCTCAAGATGATCTTATAGTATGTGCCCTTAACCTGAGCCTCTATTCTGGTGCTTAGAGTTTGAAACTATTGAGCAAAATGATCTTTGCAGATTTGCCAAAGATTCACACTTGCTGTACTAGACCAGCAGACACCTATTTTTTTTAACATTGTGAACATATATAATTCATATGCCTTGCAACTTATTTAATGCATAATTTACACACTTTTGCTAGTTTTTAAAAATGGGATTTGGAGTGCAGTTCCCTAAAGGTAAGCCAGTCCTAAAACTAACTCTGAGCAAACTTTTTTATTATTCTTCTGCTAGGGGGCCCCAAGTGATAGATTTAAGGTGATATATGAAAGAGGGCAATGTCTGAGTAATAGGAGAGCAGTGATAAGAGAGAGGAAGTGAAGGCCCATGGAATCTGTCTAAAGCTTCCTTATGAGTTTCTCAGGCACAATTTTACTTACCTTCAGAGGACAAGACAGGATTTTTTTTTAACTTATCTATAACAAAGGTTTAACATGTGTGTTCTTTTTTGGCACAAACACCTAGTCATTTGTTCCTTATGGCAATGACAAATCTACCCCATGTAGAGTAAGCAAAGAGGAAACTAGGTTAAAGGACAAGGAATAACTGATATCTTAGGAAGCAAAGGCCCAGTACAAAAAGTTTAAATATAAAGGCAAACTGTTGGGTAAGAGGCTAGTGTCCCTTTAAGTGGGATTAAGATCATCGTCTTCATGATTACAGAGTGGCATTCATTTGCAATTTTAGTGTACCATCTGTGACACCCAACTGGAGTCTTAAATTTGCCTTTTTGTTTTTCTGGTTTGTTTTTTTTCTTCTCAATACCAGGTAAAGCTTCCAGTGTACTTGTTTCAAAATCTACAAACTGTTCACTCTGCAGTTGAATTACTTAACTTTCCTTTGCTATCTCCCTCTCATTTAACACACTAATGCAAGTATCTTAGATTTTAAAAAACTAACTTTCCTTTGCTATCTCCCTCTCATTTAACATTTAATGCAAGTATCTTAGATTTAAAAAAAAAAAAAAGAAAGAGTAACCACATTTTTTATAACTGTATAGTAAGAGGGTTCTGAAGCTTGTTAATTTATAAAGAGCTTCTAAAAGCCTGGTGAGTCCCAAAGTGAAATGATAAGAGCTTATTTTAAAACCAAAATGATGGGTATGCTATTTCAGAGTTTAGAAAACAAAATCTTTCAGAACTACTGATCTCTAGTTTTCTTTGCCATTTTGTTATTAATCTCGGTAGCAGCAATGAAAATGATAAATGATACCCTCTGTTGGGAAAACCTGAGCCGAAATCATGCTGATTTTTAGACAAGGAAGTGGTAGAAGCTTTCTTAGCCCCTCTTTCCTGGCTTCTCAAGAAGTGGGAAGATTGCCTTTAGTTTAAAATGAAGTCCACCGGGATACAGAGGGGTCCTTATGACCAATAGGAATTCTAATGAAAATAGGTAGAAAATTTTAGATAACTGTAAACATGAAAGATGCCTGGGACAAGTGTATATGTTGGTGTAATTAATTTTAAAACTAAATTCCATGTTTAAGATTGCAGACAATAATAGGGTCCTGAGGGGATCAAAGGCACACGTCATTTGAGAGGAGAAAGTGATGTATTTCTCCTACTATTAGATCCTTAATAGAAATAACTTAGTTTGGCTGGATGCGGTGGCTCACGCCTGTAACCCCAGCACTTGGGGAGTCCGAAGCAGGCGGATCACGGGGTCACCAGATCGAGACCATCCTGGCTAACACAGTGAAACCCCGTCTCTACTAAAAATACAAAAAAATTAGCTGGGCATGGTGGCGGGCACCTGTAGTCCCAGCTACTCGGGAGGCTGAGGCAGGAGAATGGCGGGAACCCGGGAGGCGGAGCTTGCAGTGAGCCGAGATCGCGCCACTGCACTCCAGCCTGGGCGACAGAGCGAGACTCAGCCTCAAAAAAAAAAAAAAAAGTTTGATGGGAAGCTATTCAAGCCTTCTTGTTTATTTTAATCAAAAGTGACTACCCTGAGAAATGTTCAAGTGGCTGATACAATTTTCTTTACTTCCCAGAGACCATGAAGTCAGTGATCAACTAGGTGTCTATGCCTAAAAAAGTATTCATGGAAGTAAAGAACCCAAAGTCATAAAAGGTTATGGGCAGAGTAATACAAAACCTGTAATCCATCAAAATCCTAATTTCCTATGCCATCGCCAGAATTTTTCTTTAGTTTGGGATAAAAACTATCTGTATTCCTTAGAGTTAGCATTTTAAAATCAGGCACACAATACCCCTTTTTAGCAGGATTGTGCTTTACTTTAAACTAGAGAGATCATTAGAGATATAAAAGGTCTATTTGAGCCCTGAAGGCTTCTCAGCTCTTTTGCTTTTTGAGTGTATTTGTAGATATATAATTCATGCCTCTAGGGCTGATGTCCAGCAAAAGGGGCTCACTGCCATCAAAAAAGACAGTGTATAAAAAATTTAATAGAACTCTTCTGAACTGTGAGAATGTTGTGGGTGATAGTGAATGTAGTGGGTTATCTTTGAAAAAAATAAAAAGAACAAAAAAACAACAACAACAAAAAACAAGAAGCATGAAGTTTCAACCCTTGCCTCTCTGGAGATATGTGGGTTTTGAGAGTTCACGAAAATACCTGAACAGTGAGACTTTGGGAGAGGACACCATGCTCGAATTCCTTGAATTCTTGTTACATATATTTTGGTATTTCACCTCATCTCTTATTTGCATTATTCTAATTTTCTGCTTGAAAATTCACATAATGGGGGAAATCATTCTTTTCCCCCCCAAAATTAATTTTTCAAAGATATTTAGCTCTTTGGTGACATGGAAATGTGTACTTGTAACACATAAATATCATAAAGCTTGTAACCATGAAATTGCCCTCCATCAACCTTCAGGAAAAAATAGTCATGGACAAACAGGGCAAGTACCTGGGGAGAAGACAGTAGAAAAACAGGCGTCTCAAAGGGGCTTAACTTATATTTTAACAGGAGAATTTCTAGATAGGGCATTCTCCCTGCCTTCCCCACCACCCTTCCACCCCAGCAAAGGGTTTTTCTGAAATAGGTTTGATCTTGAAAGGCTACAGATTATATTTTTCAACAGTAAGATGGGCCACAGCCCTTTGATATCATTATATATTATAAAACATGAAATGTCAAGTGGAGTGTTTCATTTGCTTATTGATTAACAGCTTTGCCTCTGAAGTAACTCTGACTCTTAGCATTAGAACTCTGTAGGAGTTCCCACTGGCGCTAGGAATTTGGTCAAATTTCTTAAACTCTATGGAAAATGAGAATAATAAAATACTCTACCTCAAACCATCAATGCAAATATTAAAATAATCCATATCAAGTACTTTTTTTTTTTTTTTTTTTTTTGAGACGGAGTCTCGCTCTGTCGCCCAGGCTGGAGCGCAGTGGCGGGATCTCAGCTCACTGCAAGCTCCGCCTCCCGGGTTTTACGCCATTCTCCTGCCTCAGCGTCCCGAGTAGCTGGGACTACAGGCGCCCGCCACCACGTCCGGCTAGTTTTTTGTAATTTTTTTAGTAGAGGCGAGGTTTCACCGTGTTAGCCAGGATGGTCTCGATCTGCTGACCTCGTGATCCGCCCGTCTCGGCCTCCCAAAGTGCTGGGATTACAGGCTTGAGCCACCACACCTGGCCATATCAAGTACTTTTTAAATATGTTAGGTGGTTAGCACAGTACCTACTGCTATTCAGGAATGCTAGGTACTAATGTTGTTATTTCAACTAATGTATTTGAGTTGTACATACTCAAATAATCACCTTCTTCAAACCCTTTTTATTTAGTGGCTTCATGCTAAAGTAGAAGTATAATTATATAGGATCTAGATTATTGAGGCTATTTTAAATAGAATATAAGGAATAATTCAGAGAGCTGGTATTTTTTAAAAATAACCTTTTATTAAATTTACCTTTGGCTATCTTTTTCATAGAAAGAAAATATTCTAACAAGCAACAAGATAAAACAACATCCCATTTAGGAAGTTCTAAGTTTTAGACCTAAAATATTATCAGCATGTCAAACAACACAAAATCACATAAACTGAGGTAGAGAGAGCCCAAGCATTAAGCTGCTGGCTTGGAAACATCTCTTATCTACCATTCAGTTTGATATTTCTATAACAGTTTCAAATAACACAAATATCTATAAAGCAAAACAAGTAACTTCTTGACTAAAAAATTATATAGTGCTTCTTACCAATCTTATGTGTGTTGAAGCGCATAAGGCAGCATTGGTCCAAATAATCTTAAGGCGAAAGAATATTCTTAGCCTGTAGTTACACGATGATAGTACCTACCTGAAATATTTTCTATGTAAAACATTAGGTATGAAAATCATCATGTTTTCATCTTGGTAGAATCTTAAGATCCCTGAAAGCTTACCTGATTAAATCCTTGAGAGAAATGAAACAGGGAAAAGGAGAAAAGACAAAGGAAAGAGGGAGAGAGAAAATGTGTGTGCACCTTCCGTGTGTGTCTGTGTTTTTGTCAGTTGTTAGTTCCATACACTGGAAGGCGTCAGTATCACAGAACAATACTCGAAACACCTGGGATTCTTGATGTCTTCATTTTCAGTATAATTGATTTTGTAGCCTGAAGCAAAGGTGAGAGTATAATCCTGGATAGCCAAACTCTACCATAGTCACTTGAGAGTACCTTATTTTCCCCTTTGCTGAAGGGAAATAACTAATTTCCTAAATGCTTTTTCAGGACTTTTAAAAGAATGCAATTACCACTGTTACTACTTGGAGCTAAGTCAACTCATTTTCGTCTGGGGTACAGGCCTCCCACTGGCTGTAAACAATTTTAAGATGCCAAATAGAGCCTACCACTACTTTCAAGACTTTAAAATGGTGGTGAAAAAGTTCAGGCAAAGAGGCCAGGCTTTCTTTGGGAGGTAAGGATAATGTTTTAACCCCCTTCTACTGAGAGTAGAATTCACATTGATTATTAGAAGCAATTCAGCACAAAACATAACAGTGAAAATTCAGCAAATAGACACAAATGAAATAAAAATATAATATAGTCTTCAAAATTATACAGTAGAAAATAAAATCAACTTCATAGCCAAAGTAAGCTGGGAGAAGGAGAGCAAATAACATTGAGGCATTCACAATATAATAAGAACAGAAAGAAAAGTAAAAGCAAATTAAAAAATAGAGGCTGTTCTGGGAAAAAAAAAAGAAACCATTTCCATATAGGCAAAATAATTGAAACTAAAAAAGCATACTGTATTAATTGATAGTCAACTTACATCAACAAATTGCCCGCATGTTTTTTGGCATGAAAGAAAAATTTACAAAAGAAAGTTGTGTAAGAATGCTCTTGGACAAATAGAATTGCCACATTCTTGTAACTTGCTTTTTTGTTGTCATTTCTTAAAAAGTTTTGAGCAAAATGTCTAATTTTTCAAATATAATAATTTACAACAGAGGATGATACAGGGAGGCAACAACACATACATCCACACCACATAACATAAAAAGAAAAAAAAAATCTGCACTTTAACAAATTTTTACTTTGGGGGGTTTGGGAGGGCATCAATTTTTGAATTTAAAATAATTCCGATTGCTATGATTGAAAAACCAAACAAAAAACCTGTTTCCTTTTATAATTTGCCTTTCAAAAAAATTCTATGAATCTCACGGGTTTTGAATGAATTTCTGCATTTATAGGTTTTCAGATAAATACTTAATTTTTTTTTGTCTTTTTGACAAATTTTAGGCTTTCTTTAATTTAGGGAGATGGATGACAGCACATAAATTTTAACAATGCTAAAGAAAGGGGGAGTATGGGAAGGAAAGATGCAGGAAGGGGAGGGTCATATCTATGAGTGAACTACACAGGAGATGAAGATGATAGGAGTAAATGTGTAAGTGAGTCGCCATGTCCATGTAAGGGCGGCACGGAGTGATCTAGCTGCATTAGAGCTTCTGGCTGTAAGGAAGGGATGGGCAATATACAAAAACAAATGAGCCTACACATGCCCATCTATGGAGATAAAGAACAGAACTCTAACACTGACAATCTCACACACCCTAAGCTGCAACTTCTTCAACATGCAATTACTCCAAAAATTATTACAGTTTCATTAAAGATTTTCAAATAATAAAAACAGTTAAACTTTTTTCCTACTAAAAATAGCCAAAATACATAAAATACTAGTAGTCATGATCAAAAAGTTTAAAGCAAAAACAAGAAGACTAGATTTATGCATTCAAGTTGAACAACTTCATCGGCAGCCACACAGCCACATCTAGAGTTGGGGAGGTTTAGAAATCTACAGAGGTGATTGAGAGGCAACAGTAAGCAGGGGGCCCATGCACTGGGTTGCTAATTACATCTCTATAGAGAAATGGTATTTTCCAAATGACATCATCTGTCTTCCTTACGCCACCCATGTTGCACGCAATTGGCAAGGACACCAGGCTAATTTGAAACATGTGGATGTGAGGATTCTGCAGCTGAAGTTGTTCCACATTTAAAGAGGGAGTGGGGAAAAATTGCAGAAAACAATTCATAACTTTTTTCTCATAATTTTAGATAAAATCAAATCTAAGATAAAGATCTAGCGATTAAAAGAAACACATTTATATATATATATATATATAGATATATATAATATAAAAAGCACTTAATTCCCAAACAAGAAGGGAGAAAAAAACCAAAAAGTTTAAAGAAAAAAAATATTTCACACACTTTCAGAGATGAACAACCAGACGCACAGGCTTGAAAGGCACAGACAGAGCAGTCAGGGGACACGTTTTTTTTGCTTTGCTTTTTTGGCTTGTTAATTCCCCTTTTTGTGAGAGCCAAAATTAAAAACAGATTGTGCATTTTCTTTAAAACCTAATTTTACATTTTCTTTATTTTTGGCTTTGCTTTGAAAAAATAAAAAGGGCGTGCAGTCTGGATGTACGTCGTAAGTAGACATTTAAAAGAGAAGAAAGTAGCTAGACTGACAAATGGGTTATCATTTACTATCCTTCAATTGTAGGAATGTTAATCCAGTTAACACATGCTTAAAGTAAGTTGCATTTAGGGGAAAATAGAAAAACAGAACAGCAAGCTAGGATTAGGGGGTCAGCAAGACAAAACCAATTTAGGGGTAGGAGGAAAGTACTGGGTTTTGTTTCATGCCTTTCCAGTAGGGGTGAAGGACATCTGAAGGCTTCCTGCCAATTAGAAGGAAAGCATGTGAGAGGTGTGTGTGTGTGTGTGTGGTGTCGGGGGCAGAGGAGTTGAACTAGAACCTGTATTGATAGGAATTGGAATCAAAATACATATGGGTTCATGAGTTCTGCTTCAGGAAATTTATCCCAAATGTATTCATAGCCTTTAGAAGGCATATTTTATAAGGCATAAAGGGGTTATAATTAGCATTGCTCTGTGGGAGGGTTCCTGGGCTTAGTCAAAGTGACAGGGCACAATGATGACAGTAGAATGTTAATAAAATGAGCCTGATAAATGGAGGAATAGCCTATTTTTTTTTTTTTTTTTTTTTTTTTTTTTGGTAAGAGTGGCAAAACCCCTCTCCACTCCAAAGAATACAATATCAGTGTCTGTAAACTACAGGACAATCATGGACAAAGTTTACTGGAAGTGCTTTGAGGAAAACTATGCCAATAAGGTTTATTTGAAGTACACTGAGGGAAAACTATACCTCTCACATGCACGCACACAGAGAGCTAGATACTGTAGAAGGAACAGAGGGAAGGAATTTTTAGAAATGGCCTCAGCCTCCACTGGAAGAGATCACTAGAGTTATATTCAGTATTCTATCTCGTTGAGAACATTAACGTTCAACCAAGGACTGGGAAACCCAGGTAGGCGAACCACAAAGGCAAGACACTTGAGAGCACTTGGTTCTGACAGCCAATTCCAACCACGCCTAAGAACTCTTTCAGGTGACTTTGACAAATAGAGTAAATTTTGAGGATAAGTTCGACTTTTGTCCACTGTGGGACGCCCCTTTTATTATTTTACTTTAAAGTAATTATAGCAATGTGTCCCCATGGGTCAGTCCGTACCAAGATTTTTAGTCTCTGGTTTAATAATGTTAATCATTATTCTGGGAACTTCACAAAGAGCAGCTGGAAAGTTATAGATGGAGGAAAAAAAATTTAATAATATAGAAAAAGAAAAACCCTTGTTGCCATTTAGTTGATTTTTTTTGGACTAATTATACTTTTAACATTGAATTAAGATTGTATAAATGCATATATGGTCGGTCTCAAAAGGCATCGAATGACATCTGTAGAACAAAGTTCTACAATTTTTAAAAGTAGGAAACATAAGCAGTCTAAGTGTGAGACTTAAAGAATAAGATACTTGCAATATGCACATTCTCCTAGATAATGAGAGGCATTTTGAAAAAGATACATCAGCAATTTGGGTTCTCTAAGCCTTCTACTGAGTAATTTACCTATTCCCAAATTGCCTGTTTTGAAAATCTTACAAGTTGGACACCACTTACATTCTAGAAATCACTGGTCTGAACAATTGAATATATGAAAATTTAGGGTTGTCACTTTGTAAATAATATGTGTATTTTTTAAACCCATGGAAGCTGTAGTTTCAAATGAAGCCAACAAAGCATGAATATAATGCATGTATATCTTTACTGTATAAGTCAACCATTAGTTCACATACATAAACCTTGTTTGGTCTCTAAGATACAAAATGACATTGCTTGCTAATAGTAGTTCATAATCAGGTCACAACTTCATTTTCATCTTTCATTAACTATCTACACTAGGTTTGTATTAATAACTGCCTGATTTTGTGGCTATGCCTTTACTATGGGTATTAAGAATGTGTTTGGGTTATGTTTGTCACTGAGAACAAATAATACAATAATTTGATTTGAAACAGTATATTTTGATACAACTACTTTTATCCCACCATGTCCTAATAGCCCTGTCTAAATGTAAAATCAAAAATTTTTAAATGCCAAATGCCGTATTACAGTTGTTAGAATTCATCTTGGGAAATTGTTTCAAAGAAATGTTTCTGAACTGCTTGGGGTTGAGCTCAAGAATCCCAAAGACATCCTCAAGTTACTCCAGTTGCAAGCCCTCCTCTCTGGAAGGCAGGGGTCCTCCTTGCTAGAAGGCATTGTCTTCAGTGTATAGAGGTGAGGCCCAAGAGGAAGGCCCCAGTGAATTACTTTGCATAACATTATGTATTTTAAACTTCTCAGGGAGAATACTAGAAAGATGAAGGCAGAGGGAACCATCTCAACAGTCTTCGTACAACACTGGGTAAAGATTTAAAAAATTACAAACCAGGAGGGCTGAGAAAAAAGTTGGAATAACAAATAACTAATGAAGATTTTGAAGACTTTTGGCATTGGATGCATGAGTTAAGCCTCCGCATCTGTTTCTCCTATGAAATATACAAAAACATTTTCATAGATTGTGACTTTTGTGTCTATGGGGTGAATGGAGGAATTCTTCTGGGAGTATGGATGGCTCATTTCTGAATCACAGTTTGACTTAGAATGAAAGTAGAGAACCCTGTACATGAACATGGAATTCTGGATGTGAGGATTGTTGTTGTCAGCATTACAAAACGAGCCCTGCGTATACCTTTATTCCTCATAACTTCCTCTGTAGACATGGAGGGTGCTCAGAAAAGGGGTGAAGGAACCCGTTTCATAATATGGTACAGTAATGCTGCAATGAGCATGGAGTGTAGATATCTCTACATGATGGTAATTTCCTTTCCCTTGGGTATATACTCAGAAAAGGTATTGCTGGGTTATATGGCAATTCCATTTTTAATTTAGGAACTTCCATACTGTTTTCTGTAATGGCTGGACCAATCCAAATTCCCACCCACAGTGTACAAGGGTTCCCTTTTCTCCACACCCTCATCAACACACGTTGTCTCTTGTCTTTTTGATAATACCTACCCTAATAGATATAAGGTGATATCTCATGGTGGTTTTAATTAGCATGTCTCTGGTGATTAGTTATGCTAAGTATCTTTTCACATATATGTTGGCCATTTTTGTCTCCTTTAGAGGAATGTCTACTCAGGTTCCTTTGTCTATTTTTAAAATCGGGTTAGATGTTTTCTTGTGATTGAGCTGTGTGAGTTCTTTATAAATTTTGGAAGATAGCCCCTTACTAGATATATGGTTTGCAAATATGTTTTCTTCAACCTGTAGGTTACCTTTTCATTTTATTGATTGTTTTCTTTGCTGTGAAGAAGTGTTTTGGTTAGATGAATAATTCTTAAAGATTACTTTGGCTTCAGTATGGAGAATGGACTTCAGGGAAGCAGAAGTAGAATGGGGGAGATCAACTGGGCAGCTACTGCAGAGTTCAAGCAAGAAATGATGGTGACTTACACTACAGTATGAGTAGCTGGAGCAAAAGAAACATGTGAGCAATTTGTTATCAAGCTAGAGTCAACAGGACTTCTTGACTGAGTGTAGAGAAGAGAGTTGGAACAGGGGCCCAAGAATGATAACAAATGTGGAGTTTGTACATCTGAATCAAATTTAAGAGATGAGAAACTCTGGAGGACATGCAAGTCTGGGGAATCCAAAGTTCTGTTTTAGCTCTTCTGAACCCAAAGTGTCTCTTAAATATCAAAGTGGAAATGTTGAATAACCAGATGGATTTGAGAAACTGGAATTCTGAAGGGAGGCTTAAACTGAAAATTATCATCATATAGAAGCCGTTTAAAGTCAAGAGGCTGAATCAGATCACCCAGAAGATTAAAACACCTGGGCCACACCTGGGGCCACCTAAGAGATGGTGAGGTGAGGGGCCAGGGCTGGAGAAATACTCAGGAGACTCTTGAGCTATTCATACTATAGAATGAAAATGTTTCATACAAAACCTTCATTTCTGACTGGTACACAGGTGATTTTTTAATGTCAAAAAATATATTATCTATAATAGTATTAAAAGGGTCTAATGCAG